GAGAGGCCAATGGGACACCCAAGTGTTGAAGTTGAGTGGGCGGTTGGCTGGAAGCTCCTGAAGCTCAGGGGAAAATCGAGTTAGGCTGGTGTCACCCTATGTTCCTCGCAGTTAATGTGCACGTGAATCCATAGCTTCAGTCTCGCAGCTGCTCTGCCAAGAACTGCACAGTAGATGAGCAGTTGGCATCTAGTTGATCTGGGGACTGTTCATCCAGGAGGCACTCAGCTCCACCCCTATCTTCAAGAGCTGGGGATGGCCAAAATGCAGGAAGGCCCTGTCGGTTGGGCAAACATCAGTTGTGCCAAGGCCCTCTTTTGGGGGGACCAAAGGTGAGGTGAGCGGTGTGTCCTTAATAACCAAATCAGTTTGGCCCAGAGGCCATATCTGTCACTGAAGAGGGTCTATGCAGCTGCAACTGAGCAAACCCAGAGTTCAAATGAAGCTCAGGACCTGTCCAGTTGCCTTTGCATCGCCTGGGTCTAGGGATGGGCCCTGGAGGGGCTCCACATTCTGCAGAAAACAAAGCAGAAGGCAAAAAGGAAAGGTCGAGGAGGTCCGGCCACTGTCAACCTGTGGAGAAAAAGAGACCTACCAGGAGGCCTAGTTTGAGAGCTACTTCCTGTGTTTACCCAGAGACTGGGCAGATTTCCGCCTCCCCTCCCCAGAAAGCATTGCTCTGTAAGCAGCCTGGGGTTCTGAGGCACCAGATCCTTAGGGAAATGAGCAGAGACGGAGGGAACGGCAAGCATTTTACAGGAAGAGCTGTCGTCAGCAAGGGAGCAGCAGTGTGGCCTCTGTAGTCCCCAGAATGATTAATCAAAAAAGCTGGCAAAAGCATGTTTGACTACAACATCTTATAATACCAGAAGCTAAGCAAAACTTTGCCCTGGCTGGTAGCTCAGTTGGTTACAGTGTCATCCTGATAGGCCAAGGTTGTGGGTTCAATCCCTGGTCAGGGCACATATGAGAAACAACCGACGAATACATAAATAAATGGAATGACAAGTTGATGTTTTTCTCCCTCTCTCTCTAGAAAATCAATAATTTTTTTTAAAAAAGAAAATAACATTGTTGGAATAAGCAAAAGAAAACAGGCCAGACTTTAAAGGAAAAAACAGTAAAGGATTTAGATTATGTGGTTTTGCATTTTTCTCCCTACTGGGGTTGTTTTTGAGATTCCTCCACAGGTTACGCTCCACTAGAGCATCTGAGAAGTCTGCCACTCACCGGTTTTAGAGTCATGCAATACGGAGTCATTCTGCCCTTTTGCCCAAAGGACCACTTCATGGGAAAACACTTGTTACCACAGCAAGGAAATTCAAGGCATAGCTATTTCTCAAAATGTGCCTTGCAAACCTAAGAGAAGAGGTATGCATTTGAGGGTGGGGAAGGTCTGGCCCGTGGGCCATATAAGGCCTGTGAAATCAATATCAGCTAACATCACTCGCCTCACCAAAGTAGCCTGAGCAAATATAGCAGGCTAATTTTTTTTTTTTACATATTCAAGACTTTTTATTTTTTATTTATTTATTTTTAAAATTATTTATTAATTTATTTTTGTTACAGATGTTTCTCCTCCCCCCCCCCCCAGCCCATACCCAGCTTTGTTGTCCGTGTCCAGTTAGGCGTACATGCATATAAGTTCTGTGGTTTACCTCTTCCCTCCCCTCACCACCCCCTCTTCTGGGGATTGTCAGTCTGTACCCTACTTCCACGTCTCTGGATCTACCCTATTCCTCAAACTGTTATGTTCATTATATTCCACAAATAAGTGAGATCATGTGATACTTGTCTTTCTCTGTTTGGCTTGTTTCACTGAGGATAATACTTTCCATAGCAGGCTAATTTTTAAGTTGATAATTTTGTATGGCCCGCGAGTGATGTTATAAATATCCAAATAGCCCTTGGCAGAAAAAAGGTTCCCCATCCCTGTGTGAAGACTCTTTTAGTCTCTTTGATTGGATGTCACTAAATACAGAACTCTCCTTCCCATGGAAACAGATAAAGCCTTGGAGAAAAGCATAAAATTATGAATGATAAAACTGTAACCAGCTTCCAATCTACTTGAAAAACAAGAATAAGACATGGGAGAAAAACAGCAGGCTGAAATAATGTCCCTCTCTGTGAAGACGAAAGAAGGAAATTGCTTCTGGAGTGAAAGTGTTACTATTTTAGGCGACAGACATATTCAGGGGTAAATCTGTTATCTGTACCTGCTTCAACACAGATGAACCTCAAAAACATATTCTATGTGACAGACAAAAGACCATATGCTATATGATTCCATTTAAATGAAATGTCCCCAATAGGCAAATTTATAGAGAGAGACATAAAGTAGATCAGTGGTTGTGGGGGTCGGGGCTGGAGGGAGGGAGGAGGGGAAGGAATGGGAAGTGACTGCTAATGTCTACCGGATTCTTTTTGGAGAGATGAAAATGTTCTAAAATTAGATTGTGTGCTCCACAAATCTGTAAATATACTAAAAGCCACTGAATTTCACACTTTAAATGGGTGAATTTAATGATATGTAAATTACATCTCAAGCAAGCTGCTTAAAAAAAAAAATCTGCTGTCCCTGATGGTTAACACACCACAAAGAGGACACTCACCTGTAAGATAAAGTTTGGTAATTTTTAAAAAATATAATAACCATGACCAAGTAATTGAGTGATATAATTTTTACTAAGGTGGAAGTTTTTAAAATCCTTGTTGGCTTAGAATCCAAAATGTACAATGTAATATAAATAGAAGCCTCTTCAGTTGTAAGACATAAGTTGTGCCTTACTCTGATGATTAGTGTATTCCCAAGTGAACCTTCATCTAATGCATAAGTAAAGTCAATCCATTTACCTTATTTCACTGTAGGAAAGAGCCACTGCCACCATGGAATAGAAACAGGGGAGAGTAAATTAAACAAAGAAGCTTTGTCTTCAGGTTCCCAGTGTGCAATAGAATACGTCTTTCCCACGTGCATTGTGCCTTATTCCTCCATCTGGATTGCAAGCTGATTCAGTGCAGTAATTGCATCCTGTATTTTTTCTCTGTCTCCTGGAACATCCCTTTAGTTCAGGGTAGAGCACTGGCTATTTTCGGCTGGCTTCTTTCATTCTACGCGCCATGTGAGGGTGGAGGGCGTTGGTTAGGTGGGTAAGAGATTTAAGCTTCTCAAGCTTACCCACTGGACCACATTCCATTCCAGCTGGACAGAGGGGATTCTCTATTTGTAAATTTCTGGAGATCCCTCGCCATGCACAAATATTACTAAGTAATTGAACAGGAAAGAATGCACAGCTCTGTGCCTCCTGACAGCATGTCTTTTATTGTAGATATTCCCTGAATGAACAGGTCTAATTTAAAAATGGGTTGGTAAATTTTAGAGTTTCTTCGCATTTGGGGGTCAAAGAGCAGGATTGTTAGACTCAGCACATGTTTGGCCCATAGCAGGTACTTAGGGATGGGTTCTTGAATGAACAGGCAAACAAAATCTGAGGGCGAGCCCTGTGGATATCTGAGAACCAGAAGTATTGACATTTAAGCCTTGAAAGGGTATTTAGATTTTTTTTTTTTTTTTTGCTGAGGAAAGGGCAAAGAGGAAAGGACAAACAACAAAATAACAAAAGCATCTTAAATTATTAAGAATTACTTCAACAATCCTGGCCTGTGTGGTTCAGTTGGTTGGGCGGCATCCTATGTACCAGGAGGTTGCGGGTTGATTTCTGGTTGAGGGCACATTCCCAGGTTTTGGGTTTTGAGCTCCATCCTCGGTAGGGGCCATGCAGGAGGCAGCGGATGGATGTTGTGCTCACACATGGATGTTTCTCTCTCTCTCCCCCTCTCTTCCCCCCTCTCTAAAAAATCAATAAACAGTTTTTTGTTTTTGTTTTTAAATTACTGAAACAAGTTGCTATTAATTGCAACGGGGAAAAACAATTAGTCTGAGTGATCTCTACTTAGAAATACATTTGGGTTTGCAAAATGACATTGGGATTATATCTTTATAAGTCTTTCCAAACTGAGAAATGTGACTAAATAGCAAAAGCCATATGATTGGGGAATCATGAAAGCAGGTACTCTACCAGAAAAATATGAGAGGGTAGAGAGGAGAATAATTTAAACCAGGAATTCTGAGTCTGCTTGTGAGTTTTGTCATATCTGTCTACCAGGTCATTTACAGAGTGGAGAGACCTCTTCCTCCCCACCCTCCTTATTTATTTCTGTTACACACATAAATACCCAATGACCATAAAGAAGATATTTTGTTCAGAATGTACCTAAAAAAATTTTTTAGCTGATGGGTCCTTGAGAGTTGAGAGAGGCATGAAAGAGTATAATTCCAAAGACTGAAAATTTGAAAGTTGAATTGGATGACATTTTAGAGATTTGCCTTTAATTTCTCCTTATTTAAGCATATCATTCCTGCCAGGACCATATTTAGCGACTTAAAAATAAGTGTATTGAGTCTTCGGGGGTTTCTGACTGTCAGTTGGATTACTCTCTTAGAGTCCAATGGTACTTGGCATGCTATGTTAATCCATGTTTAAACTAGGGTGACCCCACGTCCTGATTTGCCTGATTTACACCCGTTGTCCCAGCAGAATTATTAATAGCAACCTCTTCTACTCTTAATAGCGTCTTGGTTTGGAAGATTAATCTCTACAATTCCGCCTAAAATTTTTCAAGAACACGCCACACTTTCCTACTAATTGTTGAATTTATAGCTATTTTATACAATTACTGAGATCCTTCCTTCTTCTTGACCCATTTTAAGCATCCTTTGAAATTCAGAAGGCTCCTCACAGAACCAGAAAGCCAGTGGTGAGACAAAGAGTACTACATCCACACAAAGACAACTGTTGTTCATTAATAACATATTAATTAACATGCTTTGCCAATTAATAATATTTTCATTATTCAGGTTGCATTTCTATTAATGAGCTATATTATTAACTCAGTTATATTAAGTATATAATGAATGCTCAAGGTTTGCTAGCACATACCTTCATAGCCAAACAGAAGTAAAATCAAGAAGCCTTCTATCTTACGTGGCATTCTCCCCTTGTCCTTGGCGGCAGCTCTACCTTATCCAAGTGGAGAGCTTCCCCAGGAGCAGGAGCTTAACTTGAGCACTGGCCTCATTAAGCACCTTATGCCATTTAGTTCTTAGGGCTTTGGCTGAGCCCCACCAAATTAACCCACATAGTTACCTGCCTCAAGAAGGAAGTTTTAGAGAAGAATCTAATGTCAACTGAGGTCAGTTTAGCAAAGGAAAGTATTAGTTTTAGTCTATCTTTAAATGTAAGGTAAGCAGTGGAGGAAAATGGAAACTAGAATCAGAAGACTCAGGTTTTAATTCCTTCTCTGCCATCATCTTCTAGTAGGTGACCTTGAGCAATTTCCTGCCAAATAAGCACTAACATTCTTGAGATCTGTGAAAATGACATGGATTCTCTCTTAGAAAGCAATTTGGCACCAAGTCCATGCCTGTTCACATGGGAAAATACTAAATTTAGGAGGGGGGAACAGTTACACACAAGAATGTACATGGCTGTGTTATTCATAATAACAAAAAAATGGAAACAATCTACATTGCCAAAGTTAGGGAGGGTTCAGTTCAACAGGTAGGGTTAACAGCTGATTCCCAAGCCAGACTGGGTGCAAATCTCAGCTCAACAACTTGTTATGCAACTTTGGACAAGTTACTTAAGTTCTCTGTGTTTCAACTTTCTGATCTGTAAAATAATGGTAATGCCTACTTCATAGTGGTAGTTTTAGACTTAAATTGGATTATGTGTATATACATATATATATTTTTCTTTTTCACAACAGTGTGAATATAATTCATATTACTCAACTGTACACTTAAGAATGGCTAAGGTGGTTAAAAAATAAAGTTAAAAGTTAATGAAGAGATTGTAATAACAGGGACAATCATGTGTCATACTCCGAGTTAGAAAATTACGAAAATTTACACATTGTATGAGCAAAACTATGTGGGAAAATGCAAAGAAAAAGACTGAGTTTCCCCTTTTCTTTTTAGTTCTTGGCCACCACTATTCCACCTCAGCCCCAGGGTCCCAGACACCTTTCCTGCATTCCTCTTGTCAAAGAAGAAAAAGACAATAATACTATATTATTAAAAAGATAATAATAACCCTTCAAAAGGAAAGTGCAACGAACTAATAGGGAGAAACGAAAAGGAACTAAAGAAACGTTATTTAATCAGTTTATTGAATGTCTACAAGCCTGACATTTATTCTGTACTGTGTATGGATTCATTCAACAAAGGTCTGTTCTACAAACTACTGTTGTATTAAAAAGAAAAGGACTGTTATTTCTTTTATAAGAAAAGAACTGATTTTCCCTGCTCTGTATTTTAAAGTTCAATGTAAAATTAAACCCTTAATAATAATAAGTAATAATCTTTTAATAATTGAACAGCAATAAAAGAGCTGTGGAGTTGGCATATTTTATTTGAAGGCTTTGCGGGGCCGACCTGTCCTGACTTGCAAGAAAAGGGCCACGCTGGGTGGTTTTGTTTTCAGGCCGCCCTGGGGTACCGGAGGAAAGGTGGGGGGGTAGGGCCCCAGCGGGCCGGGGTGCCCTTGAGACTATGACACAGCCAGCCCCCACCTCTGCTGTTTTTCAGTTGGGGCGATGGCGGCCCGGATGGGAGGAGCCGGGTATCTGTTATTACGCTTCTGCGATAAAAGCATTCTAAAAGATAAATAAAATAAAATTTTGTTTAAAAGGAGAAAGAAATGTACTTCCTTTTTGGTTTTTATCTTTCACCAGAATAACTCAAAACATGTTGAAAATAAGAAAGTCGTGGTCCCACTGGGGCTCGAACCCAGGACCTTCTGCGTGTAAAGCAGACGTGATAACCACTACACTATGGAACCTCCTCGTAGAGCAGCCTCCTCATTGGTTTACTTATAGTCTCACCTCAGAAACAGCGCTCCCGCGGAAACCCCGCCTCCTCGCCGTAGCCCCGCCCTCACTGTAGCCCCGCCCCGCTCCCAAGATTCGGACTTCTTGGCCGGCCTAACTCCAGCTCCAGCGTTCCGACCGCTCACCCTCTCTGCCCTCTGGGTTGCTCTCCCTGCGACCGGGTGTCCCCCCGCGGCCGAGAGCACCGCCCGGCTTATCACCCGTCCCCAAACTTTCCCTCAGCCTCAGTATTAGCGAGGCTGTCCCGGCGGGCGGAAGCGGATCACGCCCGGGCACAGCCCCTCCGGGCAGTTCCCCTCAGGTGGTGAGGGACCCTCACTTCCCCCATTTTCCCCGCCGGCACACTGAGCCGCTTCCGGGGCTTTGGAGGGCGGACAGGAGCACTGCTGGGAGCCAAACACTCAGGCAGCGTGGGGGGGCGGGGGTCATTTTTATATCGGCATTTATTTTGCCAGGATTGGAAAAGGTCGCTGGTGAGTCGGCCTTTTGACCCAGAATGTAGGCTCTTACTGCTCCCCTGACCTTTTCTATAGCCTTCTCCGAGGGGGGCTAAACAGTGCAGGCCTTTTGTTTGCTCTCGGCTGGGGTGGGGTGGTGGTGTAGACAAGCCACCCCCTTTATGGCTGGAGTGGGGGGCGAAGCAGGAGCGGACACAAAATTTGAGGGACCCAATGCAAAATGAAAAGTACCAGGCCTTTTGTTCGTAAGTTATTAAGAATTCCAAAATGGTGACCTCAGAGCCCTAAACCCATAGCACCTGGCCTTGTGCTCCCAGGACTGTGGTTCCTATAAGGTGCTGGGACCCTCCATTACAAAAGGTGCCTGTATGGTTTCCTTATTGGTTTTCGTTGTCAGTGCCATTTATTCATACCCCCACTAACACCCCCTCTGCATCTGGATGGATCTTTGTCACCATTTGAGGATTGCTTGCCATCCTCAAGCTTGAAAACCATTTAAAAACACTGGTGGGGGCTGGGGAGGCATTTTTAGTGTTGAGTGGGACATGGCTGAAGGCTGTGCAGCTGTGACTGTCATTTCCCTGGAGTCTTCTGAAACTGGCAGAATGATAGAGAAATTATACTGATTGTCTGAAAGCAACCTCTTCCGCCAACTCCTGTCTTCTTGGGAAGGCCCCTGAAAGAAACAGGTGTGTGGAAGGTGCACTAATCTGGGAGACATGATTTGGATTCCAGTCCTCTCTTGTCTACTCACTGTGTACTCTTGAACTAGGTCACTTCACCTCCCAAACCTTAGTATCCTTTATGAAATGCATGGGTTGGACTAGACACCTCCCACATTCTTATGAGGTAACCATAGTAAATACTGCTATCTGTTTTCAGCTGAAGAATTTGAAGCCAAAGATATTGAATGCCTTGCCTGAGACCATTCTGCTGGTGAGTTGCAGGGCTGGGCTCATACTCAGTCTTCTGACACCTAAGTGATTTTGGGAGGCCCATGTCCACAAAGGACAGTGCTGTAGTCTCTTGTAATAGTTTGTATGCATGCCACTGAGGAAATGGATACTTTCTCTTTTTTATCTTTTGTAATTTGTTGTTGTTCAGATAGAGTGGGAGGGAGAGAGAGAGAGACACATCCATGTGAAAGGGACACATCGAGTGGTCGCCATCTGCAGGATCCAACCAAGGAGGCAGGGGACAAACTGCAACCGAGGTACATGCCCCTAGCGGAAACCGAACCCCGGTCTCTCCAGACTGCAGGCCGACGCTCTAACTGCTGAGCCAAACCGGCCAGGGCTATCTTTTGTAATTTTTAAATGAAATCCGAAAGCGCAGGAACCAAGAACCTATGGAAACAACTGTTGATGATTTTCACCTTGAAACCACCAGAGTCATGGATAGTGCCTCAGATAACCACAGTTTTGCCTGGCACTTCAGTCTGTTCAGTTGGATTTGTGAGGCCTGTCACCCCCAGGTATGCCCATGAGCATCTCAGCAACTATAAGGCAAATACATAAACTGGTAAATAAAGACTAGAAGTCACTTCAAGGTTTTTGGGTCCTCTGATTTCTCATATGTCCAGTGTGGCTTCCTCAGTGTTTGCCTTCACCGATGGAGGGTAATTCAACCAAAGAGACTGCAGTCTAAAACACTGACTTGATTTAGGAAGCTCAGTGGACCTGGTTTCATTGATAATTGTACTATGTCTTTTAATGAGTACTCAAGTATTTATTTACTAAGTAAAGTGAGTCATTGCCTTAGTTGATAGAGCTCACCTTATTTTTCCCTTTTTGTGGCTCATCATGTTCAAAACATTTGAAACTAGTCTATTGGAATAGATATTTGTTGCTTTTTGCCCACCTACCTTTTCATTGTTGCTTAAATCCCTCTGTTTTCTTACCCTGCTCAAGTTCTGTGGTCACTTTAATCACTCATTTGCCTTTTTTGTTGCTTGTGGCAAGACCACAATCTACTGAATTCAATTCTCTCCCTACTCCACCCCTGAATGTGGCCCCAGGAAAAACACACATTCAGGCCTACAGGTTTTATATTAAATTCTTGAATACTTATCTCAAGTGAGCCGTTGATGTGGCCCAGAATCATGTCCACTTCCCCTGTGTATTCATTGTACACCTTTCGTAAAGGATAGTTTCATATCTTCTCTCCCTACACTTCCTGTACCTCCTTCCCCAGTCTCACAGCTGATGAACTTGCTTCCTATTTCAGTGAAAAAATGGAAGCAACCAGAAGAGAGCTTCCACAAGTAACCCCCACATCTGCCCACCTACCTACATCTCTGCCCTCATAGATCTACACCTGAGCTCTTCCTCCAGATCAAGGCTTCTCGCCCTATTGACATTTGGGACTGGGTAATTCTTGGTTGTGGAGAACTGTCCTGTGTACTGTAAAATGTTTCACAGTATTCCTGCCTCTCTTCACTGGATGCCCACAGCATCCCTCAGTTAGTTGTGACAACCCAAAATATCCCCTGGGGGAACAAAACATTGGAGGCTGTTGACAGTGTCTGCAGATACTTTCGGTTGCCATGACTCGGGGATGACATGGGGTACTGCTGGTATCTAGAGGGTAGAGACCAGGGAATGCGGTGAAACATCCTGTATTGCACAGGGCAGCACCCACATGGAAGAATTACCTGGTCCCAAATGTCAATAGTGTCATGGTTGAAAAATCCCACCCTAGATGAATTGTCTGCATTCCTATTGAAACCCAGCCCTCCACCTGCTCCTGCAGGAGTCAGAGGCAACTCCATGGCATGTAACATACACCATTTTGATACGTACCAGCTGCTGAGGGACTTCCCAGTGTTGCAGTCCCCTGATTGAAGTTTATTATCACATGTCTTCAATATGTCTAGAAGCACAGTGTTGGGCAGTGTGGGAGTTTTACAAAGAAGTATATGATATGGCCCCATCTCAAGGAGTTTGAAGAACACTGATTAACCCAAAGGACTAATTTTTTTCCAAGATGTTAATGGATGAGAATGGTTTCATGTAGTCTTCCTAACTTAGGGTGTATTTGGATTTCAATTAGACTCTGTCTCCTCTCAAAGAAGAAACTCAGACATGGGGAAGGCAGAGGGGAGGGGGGGCCACGGTGATATGCAGAAACCCATTTAATAATAAAGATGGCCTCATGTGGTATTCCTCTCCATACTAGCTATCTGTAATACCCCAAATCACCCACAACATATTTAATGAGCTTAGATTATACAGGGAGAGAAAGAGACCAGCTCAAAATACTCCCCCTCCCTTATTTATATATCTTGAGTGCCTCTAATTTTTAAAGTCACTCCTCTGGGACTATGTAACTGAACACAGAACAATTTGGCTACTCCCCACTTCTACAGAACTCCATTTAAAAGAAAATGTCTGATTGCAGCGTCTAGCCAATGGTAATTGGTGACAAATGAAATTGGCTACTCCCTCCACTTCCCTAACACTTAATGTCTTCTTTAGATTTACAAGTGGATTCAACTGTGCACATAATAGAGCTTGCCTCTGAGCTTGATAGATTTCAAGAGTGATGCGGGTATTAAACAAAAATCATATACTGTATTTTTCTTAGTGATTTTAAGTATTTGTGATTGTTGGGAATACCATTAGGGTATTGTCTGAAGATTGTATATAATAATAAAACCAAAACTAATTAGTAGGTTAACTCAGAGGCTGTCTGCAGGCTAGCAGCTTTCCTCTGCTACATCTTGTTAAAATAAAGTAGATTCTATTTTGTACAGAATGAGCAGGCTGCCATGACAACTGTCTGTGAATATTATTTCAGTATTGGTTATAGGTTTCCAGTGTCTGACTCCGGGTTCAACGTTTTTTCTAAAACCCAGATGCACATCTATTCTTAAAGGAGTTTTGGACATATTTACAAAAAGCAGAAACAAAACACTTTCAACTGGCTGGATTTTTTTCTTTTGGAATAGATACTTGAATGAATTTACACAATTGCAAATTTTAGATTTTATTGCTGTTCTTTTCTTTTGGAGAGGTGATTTGGGTATGAATTTATATTGTACTTGACTATAGATTTGATTAAATAGACACACTAGACCAGAGTTTGGGAAGTTCCTTTCTAGGTATATAATCTTTACATTCAATTGTGTTTTTGTTTGTTTGTTTGTTTTTCTTTCATCTAACAATATCAGAGGAATCTGTGGTTGCAAGTGACAGAGGATTCAGCCCAAACTAAGTTAGCAAAACCAGTCTAAAATGAATCTGACTTGAAAATTCCGAAGGTAAAATTTCATCAGAGATTTATGATGGAGGGTTCTGGCTCCATTTCCCTGCTTTTCTCTTGGTCTCCCCTTCTACATGTATCAGTTGTACCCCCCATCCCCCACCAGACCGGCTCTCCTCATGGTGACAACCTTACTCAGACAGAGCACCACATTTTGGGGAGAAGAGTGAGTCTGTGTCCCAGTGCTTTCTCCAGAGCCCTGAGATCCATTCGTATTGCCTGTCTTTAGCTACGTGCTCATGTGAACACTCTCTTTTGCCAGAAGAGGATGTGCTAACTGCTTTAGGCCTGAGTTATGTGCCCATCTCTGAACAGTCACTGTTGCTTTGGAAATGTGCTCATGCTAATTGACTTAAGCCAATCTGGGCCCACACTTAGAGTGGGGGGTGGTGTCAATCTCATGCAAACCACAGGGTTGAGAATAGGGAGAGGGTTGATTTCAAAAAAGAAAATTGTGGTACTATTGCAAGGAAGTGAGGAGAATATTTGCTAACCACCTGGTTAGGGACCAGAAGGCCAAGCAAACAATACTAATAATTATAATTATAGCTAGCATTTATTGAATAACTAACTATGAGCATAGACACTCAGACTGCTTTACAAACGTATTGGTTAGAGAATATGTTTGGCCGCTTGTAATAAGGTAAATGAAATAGCAGAGACAACACAGAGGGTTGATTTTTATCTCCTGTGATATGAAGTCAGGAAAGAAGCAGCTTCACATTCTCATTCATGTCTCAGTCTCCTCCCATCTTTCTGTAGCATCATTCTCTCTCTTGCTAATGTGCTCAAGAGGCCTGCTCCTACTCCAGGCATTGTGTCCTGGTTCCAGGCAGGATAGAGGGAAAGGCAAAGAGGAAAGGACTCATGTCTGGTCTTTTTTTATCAGGAAAATAGTTTTTCTGGGAGCCTCAGACAGTAGATTTCTGTTTATATCGCATTGGCCAGAACTGTGCCACATGACCAACCAACAGTAAGGGAACCTAGCAAATCGAGTTTTGTTGCCTGAACCCGTTGCTACCTACAACAAAATTGGGGTTTTATTGGTAAGGAAGAAAGGGAGAATGGATATTGATTAGGCAACTATCAGTGGCTGCCACAATGTGTATTAACTCATTTATTCCTTATAGCAGCCCAGTGTGGTAGGTACTATTACTGTCCTGGTTTTCTAAGAAACAGGCACAGTCTATGTAATTTTCCCAAGCTCACACAGAGCTGCTAAGTGATGGGGCTAGACTATGACCCCAAGCAATGTGACTCTAGAGCCACATTCTATTATGCTCCCAAGGCACATCCTGACCCACAGGCCAGATCACATTTCTTTCCTAGGATGGGTATCCACTCGGAAATTGTAGGCCTCTCCTAGAAATGGTAGTTAATATTTGCTTAGCGCTTTATAGTTTATGAAGAATTTTTCACTTAGATTATTCCATTCATATATTATTACCCTCATTTCTTAAATGAGAAAATTGAGGCTCAGAGAAGTTATATAAGTTGCCCAAGTTCCCTAGGTTGTAAGTGGCAGAGCTGACATTTCCTTGAAATGTCAAGAACTTGTTCCTGGTCCCCTATCTTAATCCTCCTACTCTTCCAAGCACAGAAGACATCATTTTAAAAATTTTTAAATGACAATATTTTGCTCTAGGCCCTGTATTAACTTCATAATTTTCTCA